CCCCTCTCTCCCCCCACCTAATTTGGACCATTTCTCGATTTAGGCATGCCATCCTTGTTCAGGAGCCATGCTATTCAGGAGCCATGCTAATCTTGTTTCTCTGTATCGTTTAAATTTTAATGGATGGCCATGCTACTCTTCTCTGTATCGTTCCAGTTTTAACGGATGTCCCGAGGGACTCAACCTGGCAAATTCCTAAGCGCAAAGAAGAGTCAAGTCCTTCCGGACGTCCGGTAAAATTGGAACGATACAGAGAAGATTAGCATGGGCCCTGCACAAGGATGCCACACATAATCGAGAATGGTCCAAATTAAAAAAAAAAAAAAAAACCACCTTGGGAATTTCCTGACTTGTTTGGATTTTCACATGCAGGTGAGTGAAGGTTGTGCAACTCAGGCCTCCCATCGGGACCAACCAAACTGGACATCTCAGTAACCTTGCTCCAGGTTCGATTGACGCGTCTGCTCAGGGAAGAGGAGCGTTTTCCTATGTTTTGCGTTGAATAAGACCGCACATACCAGGGCTCGAAGAGTGGGTGCCAGGCCACGAAGTGGTTATGGCACCTGAAACGCAATCTGCGTTCTTGTCCAACGTGATATTTGGAATCCCATTTCGGGATGTGAGCGGCTCTTTTTTTTTTTGTTTTGTTGGAACCAGTGAATCATTGAGGTCGAATGGGACTGGGGGCTCGTGGTACCTAACTAAGTGAATCAGCAGACAGAAAGGAGCCTAAATGGTATCAAGACGTTTCAGCATTAAGGACTTGGATCTGTGCTACGTGTGTGTCGTGCAGGTATGGCGGAAGGTGAATGAGATGCTTCCTCCGGATGTGCGAAAATCGGCCCCTGATCGGCCTCCGAATGTGGGCAGGCAGCCAGCGGTGGTGGGACTGCACAAAGGGCCGAGTGATCCAGCTGAGCGAAGTAAGGAAGGCTGTCTTCTTTTTCAATCCCCATGTCTGTGCGTCTGTTTTGTCGTTTTCGAACAAGGGTTTGGCTGGCACTTGGCACCTAAGGTTTCTGATTGTATTGGGATTCAAACTCATGTGCTGTTTGCTAACAGTTTACGACTTTACATCTGTGTGGTACTGTGTACCATTTGAGTTCCGTAAACAAGATTGTCTTCAATCCTCTTCTTGTCTTTTTGCAGTTTGCGATATATATATCGTCACAAACAGAACTGCCCGGTAAACCGTAGGCAGAGAGAGAGAGAAGAGGACAACAAACGAGGGGCTGTGACAAACTGTTTCGTCGGAGTATATATATATATTTTGATTGAGAAATGTATTTTTAAATTCATCCGGTTTCTTCGGGATTGAACTCAGGTCTGGATTTCAACAGTTGAGTGTGTGTACCAACTGAGCTGGGGTCGTTGGTCAGTTTGCTATTTTATCTGCCCTTGGGAGATGATTGGTTGCTTATGTTACTTTCACTTGAGCTGGCATCTGTCCCTGGTGATCGAAAAAGGTCATTGAGTTGCAGGACGTACGTCGAGCTCCTGCTTGAGCTCACCTCTTCCTCTGTGGATCTTCTGTTCCGGGTTGTGTTGTCAATGCACTCACTTCGATGCAGATAAAAGGGCCTTTACCCAATTCAGACCCTCTTCGGCAAATGCAGCATAGAGGGGTCACCCGCCAGGGCCCAACTCATAAAAGCAGATCGAAGGACATGTTCTCTGGGTCTAAAGTCACATCCTAGCTAAGTACAAGCCAATGTCAAAGGTCACAGTTGTGCCCTGTACGAACAGCTGCAATATCTGGATTTGGGACTCACATCTGTTCGTCCAGGGGGTGCAGAGGTCATGTCTGTTCAGGCAAGAGATGTGTCTGTTCGTGCAGTATGAGTGTCTGTTCGTGTAGAATGTGTGTCTGTCCAAAAGGAAGTCAAAGGGCAGGTTCCCAGTTCTGTCTAAGTCTAATAAGGGGTCTAGATTCAGACACCCAGTCCGAAATCCAGGCCAGATGGCCGCCGCAGCAGCAGACCCTAAGGGGAAAATACTGGGACACACACATATGCATGGGTCTGGGACTGAAGGAGGGCCAAAGTGCCAATGCAGACCAATGCAGACCTCGCCAGGGGAGGCCAGCAGTATAAAGCAATAGGCCAGCCTCCCTTGACATCAGATTCCCACTGGCATTATCAGCGTGGAAGTGCTGTGTGCACTTGTGCGCTGGTTAGCTGGGTTAGCGCTGGAGGAGAAGCTGCGCTGAGAGGTGGAAGAGAGCTGGGCGCTGGCTTGCAAGTGGCAGCCATAGCTGCGCCAGCTAGTTGGTATAGGTAATGGGTTAGTAATTAGTCTACAGTGAGTAGCATTCACAGTAGATCTTCGTAGGAGGAGTGTGCATGTATGGTGGGACAAGGGGACCAAGATTGAGATTCAAGAGAGAGAGAGAGAAGAGAGAGAGTGGGGTAGGTTCTGGCTATGGTGGATACTTACCTGCTGTGCGCTGTACTTGAGTTCTGATGGTGGCGCTGGCTGAGCCAGGCCCCATTCGTGAGACAGAAGGAAGATACTC